CACGGTCAGTGATTTAATTATACAGCTATGTGAGGTACTTACGATACGTCGGAATCACCACGTGAAGCACGCACGTGTGCAAGCTACCGTCCTGGACGTAATCCCAGCGGGAAACGGCAGGTGCACAGGTACGCGACGTACAATGTCAAATGCTGTTTTAAGAATGTCCGTCGAAGCAGTACGTTCGGCGCTGAACTGCTTGCCCCTTCGGCCGATCATTCAAATGTGACCCGAAATATGTAAACTTTTGCGGCCCTCCCGAACAGTGTGCATGCATGAACTGGGAGTATTTACCGAATTTCATCAGGATCGTGACTACATTCGCAGAAACGAGGGAGCGACACGTAATGTTTGCTCGTCCGTGCGAGGCTGGCGCGGCGGCCGCTTCTGCAAGCGCCCAGTCTCCTCCCCATAGCTCAACATTTCAGCTGTTTTTATGTCCGGATTGAACGCATAGCATCACGCTGTCAGCGTCAAGTCAATGCACCGAAGTATGGCTAGCAAAATACAGAAAAATATCACCATGTACCTCGGTGATTTCGGCTCGCTTCGGCAAATCTGACGTACGACAATTTTCCAACGACGCTTGGAGCAGGAGGAGCGGGTGTCCCTCCCCTGAACAGCTAAAAGGCAATGATAATGATAACAAGACCATAATACAGTGAGCGATAGACACGACCAACACTAGAATAAGAACGGGCGATGAAACACGCGCTGTGGCACACTGACGACACTGAGATGGCGTTAGCGAGGTACGGCATGGTGCTGTCTGACCCTCTCCTCTGCTGAAGAACACCTGCAGCACCACAAGAGAGGACGGATGCAGACATACCAATCGGGTCCATCGGGTACAGACCTACCACCCGCCTGTCGCGCTGCTGTGGCGGTGCAGCTTCGTCCAGCACTGCGCGCGGCAGCCGACGTCCTGCAAGACAATAGCCTGCAGGACGTCACGTGACGGCATTCTTTGGCGGCCGTCACTGTGTGGGCGGCTTAGGGGAAATGGGGGCGCGCAGTGGCACGTGCCTGCGGCCGCGCGCTGCTGGAGTCTGTCTGAGCTTGCACCGAAAGGCTCGCGTGATGAAACTGCTGCTCAACCCTGTGATGAGGGGCCGGCGGCGTGCGTGCGCGCGGGCCGTGCTCCCTGCTCCTGACACGGGAGCGGGCGGTGCTCCCTGATCCTGACACGGGAGCGATCCGTGCTCCCTGCTCCTGACACGGGAGCGAGCCGTGCTCCCTGCTCCTGACGGGAGCGGGCTGTGCTCCCTGTTCCTGATGCGGGAACGTACTGTGCTCCCTGGTCCTGACGTGGGAGCGGGCCGTGCCCCCCGCTGTTGACGCGGGAGCATGCCGTGCTCCCTGCTCCTGACGTGGGAGCGGGCGGTGCTCCCTGATCTTGACACGGGAGCGAGCCGTGCTCCCTGATCCTGACACGGGATCGCGCTTTGCCGCCAGTCGTCGCCTGTTCAGATGGACACCTAGCGGGGAGGGAAGGGACGGGAGCTCTCACATCATCCGCCCGAGATGACTGATGTGCTTGTTTCTCATAAAGCGATGCGTTGTTATCATCTCGGGGCGTAGTTTTCATTTCGTTCACTTTGCGCCATCGCGATCATAATCATGATCGCACATTTTAGCTCCTTCCTCAAAAGCGGGTCGTAAACTACATGGGTATGGGTAAACCACATGGGTAAACCACACGCTCGGTGGACACACAAAACGAGCCAATCACTATTCGTGCATAGCATGTGCACGAGGCCGGCTTGAACTGTGACGCGCATGCTTCGTTACTTCTGGCAAACTGTGAGTGACACACTTCAGGCCCGTTACCTCTGTAAGCGCACGTCCGTCGGCCAGCGGCAGCCGCGGAAGGCCAGAGAAAAGCGAGCCTCACCACGAACGGACAAGTGGCACCATGAACCTTTTATGGGGAAGCCTCTTCACCAGTTGTGGTGGTGTGTGTGGGGTGTGCACCCCAGCTACCATTTAGTAGTGTTTTGGGAGGGGGCGCCTGTGAGCTCGTGGGAGCCGCCGCGCTGGCGACGGAGCCGTGGGACGGCGGCTGCGATTCCCACGATGTGCTTTTAGGGCCGAAGACGCTCACCCGGCGGCGGCGGCGGCCTGTCGCGGAGGCAGCCTCGCTGTCTTCCGAGCTCTACATCTGACTGGGTGCCAGGAGGCGTCACGTGACCGCGGGTCTCCCGATTCGCCGGGGGTCAAGGGTCAGCCGCTGATGCGACGGCAGGGACCCGACGCTCGCAGGCGCCAATTGGTTTTTGGACGGGCCCGGGGGTACGCGCTACGTTCTCTTGCACCAGTTTAAGCGACGATCAGGTACCCATCAGCAAACAGTCCTGCGCAAAGGAGGCTTCCTAGATTGTAATGTCAAAAAGCCGTTTCGAATTTAGCAGCTTTAAATCGTTCAGCGACCACCATTGGTATGCTTTTACGTGGTTCATACAATCGAGAATGCAAAAGCAGCCCAATAATGTATTTTTCAGCCATATATGATCTATATCATTTTCAGTCATATAATCATAAATGTAATATAATATTCCACAATTGCATGCAATACAGTTACATATGCTCGTGTAGTTACATGCAATAACTATTACATGGCATAATATCACAGCAGTTAGCTACATGTAATATGTATTCGTGGTCTAATGCCGACTATGCATACCAAACGCACTGCCGAACATTTCGGCATTTTTTCAGTAGTCCCTTCGCCCCACATAGCCGGCTAGCCCGTTCGCCGCCGCCTGCGGCTCGTTGATCTATCAGCAGCTAGTCGTGAGCCAAACTTTATGTCAGGAATGTGAGCCCTTAGGAATGAAAACAGCTGCCAGTGGACGGCAACCGCTCGTCTTCATGTTTGGGGTGAATTGCGCATTTGGTTGATACCTCCCTCACGTCTTGC